ATTACAGCTGAATAAAATGTTTTCTTCAACCTGATCTATATTTACCTCCTAGTCATCCTGGTTCTCTCTTCTCAAATGAACAAGCTGGGCTTACAGTACCTTATTGCAAAACTTAACATTGCTGTTTCCTTTTTACCTCACAGCAACATTCTTACACAGTGAGCCAACAAACAAAACAGTGCAGTTGCCTGCTCATCCTTTGTCACCTGTTATGTAGTTATACAGTTCTCTACTCCATGTCTTCTTATTCTACTCACCTATCTTCTCAAAACGAGAAAGGAAATTCTGAAAGAAGTTTTTACAGGGGTCAGGCATGGCGAGGGTACCAAATTCTGACATCACAATGCGATCCTTTTCACTGTTCTTCCTGTAGGCATCACTTTGCAGGAACCGACTCATGTATGTCACCTGGCCTTTCTCCATCTTGAACTGATGCAGCATAGCCATCCCATCAAACCAGTGGTTGTAGCTGTAGTAAAGCACACGTAAAAGCCTGATCACTCCTATTAATAAACATTGTGTTTGTGTGTGCTGCAGTGTGTTGAGGTGTTTCCAACTCACTGTGTGTTTCCAAACTCAAACTTCCCCGGGCCATTGCGGAGGAGCCTCCCATTGATCCAGGAGGGAATGATGCCCTGTACTTCAGTAGAGATTGGCTCAGGGGTCTCTTGTGCGGAACTGACCAGAGAAGCAATCGTCTCCAGCCCCCTCAGTCTTGTAGGGAAGTGTTCTTTAACTGATTAAGGAAAAAAAAAGCTTAGGCAACTAGGGCTGTAGCGATTATTCGACTTAATCGATTAGGATAATTAGTCGACTTGTCATATGTAGGAAACAAAAAAAAATTTGTAAGACAAGTTTCAGTTTCACACTCCAGAGCAGATGGTGGCGGTAATGCGCCAAAAGCTGGATGCCAACCGCCCTTTAAAAGGACGCAGAAGAAGATAAGTAGGAAGTAGGCAGTAACGCGAGCATAGATACGCATAGCACTAGCAGCATTGCGTGTCCGGGGAACGCGAAAATACCACGACTGCGGTCACCAAAGGTTTGGCAGTATTTTAAACAGATACCAAACAACATGGTGCTCTGCCAGCTCTGCAAAGCAGAAATGGCGTTTCACAAGAGCACCAGCACCATGCACGAGCATTTGAAAAGGAGACATCCCGGGGCAGTTTCTCAGGACAACAGCGGAAGCAAGACGGCACCGTAAGTTCTGTTTACTTTTCATATTGTTCCTACCAAATGTAACAGTGTTAGCTTTATACGGTACAAAGAATGTGTTCTCGTCGGTAATTCTTTTTCTTTTGTTAAACGTTTCTTCC